TAGTTTTACTGGCAAGAGTACAGATAACTGCATAAAGGAGGAGAGAGCAAGAAGGAGGTGCAGGATTTCCTCTCTCCCGCCTCTCAGTACATAGAAGTTAGCAAAGTAACTCTTTCGTGATTGGACTGTACAGGGCTTGATTACCTCCTCCTATCTCCTCTCCTGGTTGCTCATGGTTGCTGGCAGCAGAAATTGTGGATGGAGGTGGTAATCAAACCTTGCACAGTCCTGCATAAATGCCCTCCCCCCTTCCCCTCCACCATTATCCCAAATGTTTACGGCCAGATTTAGAAATTACAGAGGGCCTTTTCTCTTCGCTCTGGTGGATGAAAAGAGGTGGTAGGGCAGTAAAAGGAAGGTGAATATAAGCAGCTGCTGGAGGTGGGAAACTAATTGAACAGACAAAGAAAAGGTTTCCTCTAAAACGTAACTGCGCTTTTGTTGAAAAAAAAAATCCCCTCTGGGTGATTATATACATTACAAGGATTTTAACAAACTTTGTTTCAAAACCTTAAATTGCTGTTTGTTTCACCATGTCCTTTCGATTCCTGGATGGGAGGGGTTATGTTTATTATAACCATATGAGCAAGTCTTGGTGTTCTAAGCTGCAGTGTCTGCATTCATTTTAGTATACAAGACTTAGGGAGCATCTTGCCAAAAATTACATTTCTGTTGCAGGGGATGCCTAACATTCAGTTTTGTTTCTTTGTTCAGTCTTTTGAGAAAATAGGTGAGCCAATCACGAAAGCCGGAAATTACATTTCTGAAGCATTCTGTACACCAACAGTATAAAAAAATTGCCACATTGCACTTTTTTTAAAACTTTTTTTTGAAAATTACAGTGGCTGCAGATTAAAATGGAAAGGTAATTTTTAATAACATTTAAATGGTTTGTGAAGCAAATTTATATGCTATATTATTTATTTACAAAAATAGAATTTCCTGGTGACAACAGTCACCAGCACTGAAAGGGATGGGAAATCCAAAATTTTAAGTTGTCATGAGAACAGGAAGGGAGGGGAAATTTTCCAAAGGTGGCACTATCTGTGGTTAACAACTACTGTACTTAGAGAGAATTTCCTTCACTTTAGATTTCAGCTTTCTCCTGTTGTGTCTCTGGAACAGGAAGTGAAGGGAAATCTCCTAAAAGAAAAAGATGACAAAAAGGGTTTAACCATTCCTTAGCCTATCCAACACCAGAAAAAAGTTTTGGCTTAAGGTATACTGCAATTATTCATTTAGATCAGAGGTTTTCATACTTTTCAAACAAAGGTCCAGTATACTGTCCTTCTGACTTTAGGAGAGCCAGATTAGGGCCAGCGAGGATAGAAAATGTTCTGGCCCCAGCATCAGTGAGAATAAATATGGCCATGGGTAGATGGTCAATAGGAGGAGTAGTGCCCATCATTGGTACTAGAAGGACGAACTGTGCCCTATCATTGGTTTCAGTGGAAGAAGTACTGCCCCATTGTTGGTCTCAGTGGGAGGAATAGCGCCCCAAGGGCCGGACAAAGGGTAGCAAAGGGCCACATCCGGTCCTGGGCTACAGTTTGGAGACCCCTGATTTAGATTAATATGAACATTACCTATATTCATTTCAACTGTTTGTTTTAATTGTACTTCTATTAAAAAGTACATGGACAAACATGCCACTGAACAAAATGAAAAGCACAATTAAAACTTTTGCAATTATCAAATTACTTTTTTTGTGATTGGCTATATAAACTAGATAAATATGCTAAATATTATTTCAAGCATTGAGTTACTGTCAGCTCAATATCAGTAGACTTTAAGCATGCCTCCACTTTGGGGAAAATATTCTGAAGCTATGAGATCTTTTCTAAGCATAAGGAAATGACTTCCACCTCAGTATTTGTGGGCTCGGGTATTTCTTCAGTTATACAGTGCTGCTGAAAGCTGGCAAGTACATATATACTGATAAAAGGACACTTTGCAGACTTGTGCAGGGATTTCCATACTGGCTTTCTGCTGTCTGTCTTCTAATTAACCTAGTAGTCTAAATAGAGCCACCAAAGGCAAATCCTGGCAAGATATTTGAGCTGTAGACAAAGTTAAATATAAAATCTAAAATACCTAATATATCAAACATCATTTTTGTATTGTGAACCTGGTCCCCTTGACAGACTTTTGTTTGTTCCCTCAAAGGTTTTAACTTCTTATGGCTAATGTTTCCTGCATAATAAGTAGATTCTTATTAATAAGACATATTGCCATAGCATTAACAGGCTCTGCTTTCCTCATCTTGAAGCCCTTTTAATGAGCTGATTAACTTGCTCCATGTTACTTAACCTCTGAACTACAGGATGCCAAATGTCTTAGCTTACTCGCCTGTGCAAGAACTGGAGGTAAAATGGAATTGTATATTCATTTCTTACAGCTAATTCCTATTCTATCATTCTATGATCTTGGCATACTCTAACAAGGCCCTTGGTGAGCCCTGACTTCTAAAAATGAACTCTATAATGTATTTGTGGTACTGAACCAGTCCAGATGAGGATGACTGATTTGGATGTATAACAGTAAAGGTGTCTGCAGGAAGAACCGTTCTACTTGCCTGCAGCAGCCAATAAAATGCTCATTTTCACATCTGTGTGGTTAGGTACAGAAAAATCTGATGAGCACAAGGCGCTAAGGTTCTCCAATTAGAAATTTGTAGTCATCAGGCTCATTGTACCTTAGTAAATGGATGTTTTTACTATTGCTCCAAAGGTTAATGACTGAGGTGATACTCTGATTGCTTCCAATCATGCGCAAGCAAAAATACATTTTTTTTTATTTTCCTTGCGCATGATTGGGTATGATGGGTGTTTGCAAACTCAAACTTAGCACATTCAGTAAGCTGTAGGGCAGATTCCCAGGCAAAGTTCAATTTTCCTGGCACTTCCTGCCTAGCCAATCTACATATCCATTCTTCAGTTCTGGCAGGACATCCCAGGACATCCTCCCGCTCATGTGCCTCACGCGTGCCCCCCTGGAGTGTGCAGCAGTGTGATCTGTCACCTGCTTTGTCTGATGTACACAGTGGATTACAATGCTCAGTACCAGGCCGCTATGATTGGACCAGGTATCATGTGGCTTTCATTCATGACAGCATTGCTTACTGTTGTGATCTCTCTGAATGCTCACTGTGATCACATAGTACAAGGCCAGTCACAGCAGCCCTGTGCCATGCGATAGCTGTGGAAAATAACAGCATCACAATAGTGAACAATGAGTCATGAATGAAAGCTATTCACGACAGTAAAAACGATTGCTGTTACAGTGATCATTGCTATAACAAGCAATCACATTGTAAAGAAAACAAAAAATTCAGATCACCTTCTCAGAGTAGTACAGTGTCACTATGGTGACACTGCACCACTCTGGTGACAGTATGTGGAAAAAAAATATATACACACACACACATTTTTGTTTACATACAGTCACAAGTTAGTTTCCCCAATCACAGCCACACATTCCCAGTAAGAGAGACATAACTTGTTAAAATAACAACTTTGTGGAAAAAAATCCACAAAATGTATTTAATTTCTCCATTTTCCAAAAAATTGTGACAAAAACTACAACTTCAAAAAACTCACCAGGGGTTTTGGGGGTATATGTACTGTCCTGGCATTTTAGGACCTCAAGAAATTAAATAGGCCATAAGTACAGCAGCATTGCTCAGTTTTTAAATATTTATGTCATATTTTGTAGACTCAATAACTTTCCTACAGACTAAATAATATACACTGATTTGAGTTATTTTTACCAAAGAAATGTAGCAGAATACATTTGGCCGAAATATATGAAGAAAGATTATTTGCTTGCAAAATTATATAAACAGAAACTGAGTAAAACATATTTTTCTTTTCAAAATTTGCAGTATTTTTTATAAAGCATAAAAAAAAAATACCGTCAAAAGAAAGCTATGTCTGTCTCAAAAAATGCAACAAATTTATTTTGGGTACATTGTTGCATGACTAAGTAATTGTCTTTCAAAGGGTGACAGTGCTGAAAATTTAAAATTGGCCTGGTCATGAAAGCAGGGTGAAAGCGTCTTGTATTGAGGTGGTTTATGAGGTTCACTAAAAAAAAAAAAAATCACAAACATTGAACCTGTGCAAGCATATCTATGCTGTTTGCAAACAAACGATGGCAGATTTGCACATGTCTATTCAGTACAGTATTCAGGTGCAGTTTTACTTATTCATGAAAAACACATGTAACCGTTAAACATTAATTCCAAATTCATAATTCGGCACTTATATTATATTGATGGCAAGCTTGCAAAATATTTGTTTTTTTATGATTAATCAAGTGATAGTTTTAAATTCTTCAGTTATAGCTGAGAAAGAAACATTTATTTGGAGTTAAGCTAACTAGCTGGCAGCTGAGTATTCTATAGAAGGGCATAGCTGGTTAAAAGGTCTCTAGTATAGAATGTCATGGGAGTGAACCAAAATAGAATTACTATGAAATAATATATATGCTAATAGTATCTGTGTGTATTTAAGTTATGTTTTATATGTTGGTAATATGTGTTACATAAGTAGATTTTTGGTTATACAACATTATTGAAATATTATGTTGTAAGGAGAGATTCTTAGTTTATATTATCATTTAAACAGAGAAACTTGTCACATGAGCAGGCTGATGCAACATTGTCAGCTTATGAAGCCATTACATATGGGCTTGTCAATCAAAAGACCATATAACATATTTTTTGCTCCATAAGATGCACTTTTTTCCTCCCAAAAAAGGGGGGAAAATGTCAGTGCGTCTTATGGAGTGAATATGGAGCGGCCGATCCGGTATTTCTGCCACCGACACCGTGTCAGAATACTGGGCCGGCCGCTCAGCTCTTCTCTGCAGCAGGACCTTACCTGATCTCGGTCCAGCGCTGTACAGTCTTCCTGCACCGGCATCTTTAGTATGGGAACCCGGCTGTGACAGCCGGGTGCCCACTGCGCATGCGCAAGAAGCGCTGCACTTTGTGAATGGTCCGGTGTCTTCTGGGACCGGTCATGTTTCCCAGAAGACGCCGGACCATTCACAAAGTGCAGCGCTTCTCGCGCATGCGCAGTGGGCACCCGGCTGTCACAGCCGGGTGCCCACACTAAAGGGAGGACAACTCCGTGGAAGTGGGAGCGGGTACCTGTCAAATTCAGGTACCCGCTCCCCCTCCCTCCCCAAAGGTCCACAGTCTCTGGTCATCTCCTGTACTGTCGGCAGTCTCTTGGTCATCTCCTGTACTGTCTGCAGTCTCTGGTCATCCCCTGTACTGTCCGCAGTCTCTTGGTCATCCCCTGTACTGTCTGCAGTCTCTGGCCATCCCCTGTACTGTCTGCAGTCTCTGGTCATCCCCTGTACTGTCTGCAGTCTCTGGTCATCCCCTGTACTGTCTGCAGTCTCTGGTCATCCCCTGCACTGTCTGCAGTCTCTGGTCATCCCCTGCACTGTCTGCAGTCTCTGGTCATCCCCTGCACTGTCTGCAGTCTCTGGTCATCTCCTGTACTGTGTCCGCAGTCTCTGGTCATCTCCTGTACTACGTCCGCAGTCTATGGTCATCTCCTGTACTACGTCCGCAGTCTCTGATCATCTCCTGTACTACGTCTGCAGTCTCTGGTCATCTCTTGTACTATGTCCTCATTCTCTTATCATCTCCTGTACTACGTCCGCAGTCTCTGGTCATCTCCTGTACTATGTCCGCAATCTCTGGTCATTTCCTGTACTGTATCCGCAGTCTCTGGTCATCTCCTGTACTATGTCTGCAGTCCATTGGTTCAGAATATTTTTTTTCTTGTTTTTCTCCTCTAAAACCTGGGTGTGTCTTATGGTCAGGTGTGTCTTATGGAGCGAAAAATACGGTATGTAGTATCCCCCCCCTTCAATGAAATTGCTCTGCTAAGCAATATTGTTTGCCATAGAAGGTTCTAAGATCACGAATTATGACATATACATGTAACATAAAAGACATCCTGAGAGATGTGAAGAGGGCTTAACACACACTCATACACACACAAGCATGGAATGAAGACACTGTGGTTATTCACAGACTGACAGACTGGAACAGGTGCATTCTCTAAGAGGCCTAAGTACACGTCATTTATTTCTTCTTGCTAAAACTCAAGCTGCATTGAAAAAGACAAGAACCACATGGAAGAACGGCCATGAAAATAAGGGTGACACATCTTTATAACTTCTGTTTTGATATTTCTGTTTTACCTACACAGAACTGTTATTCATGATGTTTTACATTGTTATTTGCACCATTGTGTGATACAATAAAATCACACTTTATTTTTTACTTCGCCTGCTCTTTAATTATTCCAAAATGGCCTATGGACACTAAAAAATTATTATATGAGTCTCAGAAAATTCTACAGTAACAATAATATATTTTATTTTATAATCATCTGAACTGTTTACCATTTTTATGATTTTATTTTTCTTTATGCACAAACCTATTTGATTAGTTTGTGTATGACCCTGTAAAAATGAAACATCAGGAGACACAGTCCACCAGGAAGTTGATTACAAGGGCCCCATGATCCCCTATTAGCCAGGGGCCCCATGAGTTGTCAGTCCGCCCCTGACTGTATGCCTTTGTGTACTGTATATAGATTACTTATGGCACAATAATGTTTTCAAAGTAATGTAAGAAAATATGGCTAAAAATAGAGAAAAGTGTACCACATGAAGACTGCCCTCCCTTCTGACAGGGAAGAGTGATCGATCGTGTGTCCGAGCAGAGCTGAGAACGCAATCCATCACTTCTCCTTGTACCAGCACCACCTAGTGTACACCAAGCACATAGCTAGGTACACACCTAACCCTTTCATCACCCTATATGTTAACCCCTTCCCAACCAGTGTCATTAGTATAGTGATCAATGTACAGTATATTTTTTAGCACTGATCACTGTATTAGAGTCACTGATTCCCATAAAGTGTCAGTGTAAAAAATGTCTGCCGTAATATTGCAGTCCTGCTATAAGTTGCTGATCGCCTTCATTACTGGTATAAAAAAAAAAAAAATTCCAGAATATGTTCCATAGTTTGCAGTCGCTATAACTTTCGTGTAGACGAATCAATATATGCTTATTGGGATTTTTTAACCAAAAAACAGAATAGATTTGGCCCAAATTTTATAAAGAAATTTGATTTTTACATTTTTTTTTTTTATTGCTTAAAGAAGAAAATAAAAAAAATATATATTTTTTTTTTTCAAAATTACTGTTTTTTTTGTATACAACGCAAAAAGTAAAAACCGCAGAGGTGATCAAATACAACCAAAAGGAAGCTCTATTTTTGGAAAAAAATTGACATAAATTTAATTTGGGTACAGTGTTGCATGACCATGCGATTGTCAGTTAAAGTAATGCAGCGCTGTATCGTAAAAGATGGCCTGGTCAGGAAGGGGGGTAAATCTTTTGGAGCTGAAGTGGTTAAATTGCAGCAGTCTTGATAAGAAGGTTAAATAAAAAGAAATAGATTTGCCAAAATAACTACCTTTAAAAAAAATGCTGCTTCAGGCTCCCATTTTGTGATCATCTCATGAACAAAATCCTCAGCATTTTAGTGCATAATCTGTGCTGAAGCCAATGCGCCAATCTTAACTCTGAAACAAGCCTTCAATAGAGAATGCATGACTGCATGCTTAGGCATTTTGTCACGTAAGAGTAGCATTAGTGGGATCCTAGAGCAGTGTTTTCTCCAGAACATACAACTCTTTTGGTCCTGTTACCCTTTATTTATTCAGAATAAAATTGTTGTATAGCTTTATGCTAACGTTTGAGTATAGGACAACTTTAAATCATATACACTATATAGACAAAAGTATTGGGACATTCCTCTAAATCATTGGTTTCCGGTGTTCCAATCGCCTCCATGGCCACAGGTGTATAAAATCAAGCACCTAGGCATGCAGACTGCTTCTACAATCATTTGTGAAAGAAGGAGTCACTCTCAGGAGCTCAGTGAATTCAAGCATGGTACCGTGATAGGTTGCCACCTGTGCAATAAGTCCATCCGTGAAATTCCATTGCTACTAAATATTCCACATCAACTGTTAGTGGTATTATAAAAAGGTGGAATCAACTGGGAACAACAGCAACTCAGCCACAAACTGTTAGGCCGTGTAAAATAACAGAGCGGATCAGCGCATACTGGAGAGCACAGTGTGCAGAATTTGTCAACTGTCTGCAGAGTCAATAGCTAAAGACCTCCAAACTTCATGTGGCCTTCAGATTAGCACAACAATAGTGCATAGAGAGCTTCATGGAATGGGTTTCCATGGCTAAGCAGCTGCATCCAAGCCTTACATCACCAAGAGCAATGCAAAGTGTTGGATGCAGTGGTGTAAAGCACGCCGCCACTGGACAACTTGTTGGTTACCAGGAGAACGGTACTTGCCTGACTGCATTGTGCCAAGTGTAAAGTTTGGTGGAGGGGGGATTATGGTGTGGGGTTGTTTTTCAGCGGTTGGGCTTGGTCCTTTAGTTCCAGTGTAGGGAACTGTTAAGGCATCAGCTTACCAAGACATTTTGGGCAATTACATGCTCCCAACTTTGTGTAAACAGTTTGCGGATGGCCCCTTCCTGTTCCAACATGACTGCGCACCAGTGCACAAAGCAAAGTTCATAAAGACATGGATGAGCAAGTTTGGGGTGGAGGAACTTGACTGGCCTGCCCAGAGTCCTGACCTCAACCTGATAGAACACCTTTGGGATGAATTAGAGCGGAGACTGCGAGCCAGGCCTTCTCGTCCCACATCAGTGCCTGTCCTCACAAATGCACTTCTGAAAGAATGGTCATACATTCCCACAGACACATTCCTACACCTTTGAGTTGAAGCTGTTATAGCTGCAAAGGGTGGGCCAACTCAATATTGAACCCTACGGTTTAAGACTGAGATGCCATTAAAGTTCATGTGTGTAAAGGCTGCCATCCCAATACTTTTGGCAATATAGTATATAGAGTCAAATTTTTAAATCCTATATTCCACATTGTACTTCAATTACTACCATTAATCTGTATGATATTGAAGTTTGTAGACTTACTTTGTGAAGATACCCAGACATTTATTTTCTTGAATTCTGTGACACATATTCACTATGCCCTGTGAGTAGGTGTTGCTGTGTTACACATTGCACAGAACCTGCCTTCTGTACCAAAAAGATACTGTGAGAATGAGTTTCAGGAGGTGGAGACAGTAAAGGAATCACTACTTGCAGGTAGCAAGGCACCATGGGATATGTAATCCTTAGAAATTAAAGTGATTGTAACCCCTCACCTTGTAAAACAACCCATTTACTGTGAAATAGAAATAAAAGGCAAACCATTTGTATATGGATATAACAAACTTTAGAAATACTTTTTGTCCTTTTTGTTATAAGGGATCACATGCCCTTTGTGTTTAGCTTCATAAAGAGCTTAGAAAGGTGAGGGAGGAGAAACAGCAGCAAATTCTTAGTGAATGGCTGTGCAGGTAGGCATGTCAGGACAAGTTTGATCATAGGAGGAGAGCAGGCTGAGTTTCTAGCACAGCTAGAGAACTGACCACACTATGCTCTCATGCCTAGTGTGGTCAATTTTTTAAGAGGAAAGTGGAGGGACTGGCAGGAACACCAGGGATTTCACACACAGGAAGCAATACAAAGAGAACAGGATCCTTTTTCATACAAGTACATGGTACAGCAGGCACATATCAGGAATATGAAATGTTGGGTTCACATATTCTTTATAGTAAACCGCAAAGGAAAAGTTGCAAAGCATGCAGGGAATCCAGCAAGTTGTGGAAAGAGATGGCCAGGCAGTACTTACAACATGAAAGAAGATTTTCCAAGTTGGCTTATTTTGGATTGTCAAAAATAACTTTTGTTTGTATTGTATTGTATTGTATTGAACATTGCAATGCTGATGTTCTAAAATGAAAGTGTATGCTATGACTTAAGATCTCCTTTAATCTAGAATACATTTTTGGAAAACGGTTCAGCTGGATACAAAGCAAGGGTTTTTTTTTATTTTACCATATGTATTGGTCTATAAGTTGCAACTGTTATGTTTACTATGAATCTTGATAATGTGGCTTTGTCTATAACCTGAAATTGTAATGTACACCTTGTTGCATTACATTAGCAATGTTTTGTATATGACTAAGAGCTTCTATTGCATTGTATCTGTATAATATATTGGTGCAACAGATTTTAGCTATGCTATTATGTCAAGTTAATATTAGTGACCTTTTTTGTTTCTGTCGTATTTGTGTAGCATACTTGCTCCTCTAGCAGAGCATTCAATAGATGTAGACTGTTGGTATATAATATGTACATGTGATGTTAATCTCACCAGCTAAGCAGATATTTCAAGAAGGCAATAAGAAGCTTTATAAAAATTTTTAAATTACCAATTTTTATTATTTTTAGCAGGTCTGAAATATGGTTTTATTTGTGTACTTTTTTTGTACAGTTGCATTTTTATCTGATTTAAAGGATATTCTCAGGATTTATAGATTTATTCTTGGAAACTGTTGCCCTGGGGATCTCATTGGTTTTGAACATCGATCAGCTGTACAATAAAATCCATTTTCTTACATAACGCATTCAGTACTATTTGCCTGTATTGTGTCTTTTTATTTTAACACTTTTAAAGTGATGCATTTATGATTCTTGAAAAATGACCCCATGACAATTTATTAAACTCAGCTCCACCCAATTTTTAAACTCCTGAATAGAGTAAGAAAGAGCTAGAACATCTGGGAAAGAGTTAGATTATC